GACCAGCAACTTCCTATGTTCCTTAAATGTCTGTCTTCCTGAGATATGGGAGAGCTTCTGGCAGCCCAGGATAGGAATAATATTCAGCAGTTTCAGTTATGTTCCAGAGTCTGTCCAGAGATCTGTGTAGGTGGCATGAAAAAACACTGTAGCCTTGGGCAGTCTTGAAGTTTAACTCACCTGTGATCCAGCCCTGTAGACCACATCATTAATCTTTTATGAGCGATGTGTAACACTTTTTCTCCCAACCGAAATTCTGAGTCATAGGAAAGTGCTTAAGGAAGCAGCCAGTGAAGTTTAGTGTCTCCTTTCCCCTTCCACTCCTTTTTAAGCAATTCCAGCTGGCACTGGTGGGGCAAGCTGCTTCCTCTAGCGTTCTCACGATCCTGAAGCAGAGACCCTGACCCGGCAACTGTGTGCTCGCTTTCTGAAACCTTGTTGCAAGGAGTGGTGGGTGGCAATGACAGTATGTGGCCAGAAGGATCCTCTTTCTGGGGTCAGCTGCTAGTTGCATCTTCCTATGCCAACCTAAACAGTGTTTTGGTTTTGGTTTATTTTTCCTTTGTGAGGGGATGAGCAGGGAAGAGGGTAGAGCAGGAGTCAGCAACCTTTCTCAGCCATGGGCTGGTCCACCATCCCTCAGACCATGTGGTGAGCTGGACTGTATTTTGAAAAAAATAATGAACGAATTCCTATGCCCCACAAATAATCCAGAGATGCATTTTAAATAAAAGGACACATTCTACTCATGTAAAAACACACTGATTCCTGGACTGTCCACAGGCCGGATTGAGAAGGTACTTGGGCTGCATCTGGCCCCCAGGCCTTAGGTTGCCTACCCCTGGAGTAGAGCAAAATGCTTTTCTGCATCTGTGCTAAGTAAAAAGTCCAGGCTCCTGAATTTGGAATTGCTTCTACAGGTAGCTTGGCCCTGGATTTTCATCTAGTTACCAAGAGTGACTCCGAACCAAGTGGTTCAAATGGTCTTCTATGGCATGACCTGGAGGCTTGAACACTAGAGGGCAGTGATACGGTTTGTTTTCTTTGCCATGCAAGCCATAGTTTATTCTGATGTATGAAATGGGAAACTCTGGCTTGCTCTTATCCTCCAAACCAGAACTGTAAACCATGGATCTGCTACGTTACGTTACGTTACGTTACGTTACGTCTGCCTCCACAATTGGAGGCAGCAATGCTTCTGAATACAGTACCAGTTTCTGGAAACTCCAGGAAGGAAGAGTGTTCTTGGGCTTGAATACAGCTTTGCGTGTTTCCAACAGGCATCTGGCCACTGTGATTACAGGATGCTTCACTATATGAGCCATTAGGCTGATCCAGGAAGGCTTTTCTTATATTCTTTATATTCTTATTTTAACAAGTATTATCCCACTTTTCCTTCAGGGGCTTAAGAAAAGAGTAAGTGGTTCTCTTTATCCTCAGAACCATGTTATGAGGATAAAGGCTGAAAGGAAGTGACTGGCCCAAGGTCTCCCAGTGAGCTTCATGGCTAAGTGGGGATTTGAACCAGGTGTCCCAGGTCTTAGTCCAACACTCTAATCACTACACAACACTTGCCTCCCTGGAGTTCTGGCCTGGAGTTTGCTGATTCAGACATTGTAAGCAGCTGCAGGTTGTGTAAAATAGGAAACTGAAAGTGACGTTGGGGGTGGGGAAAAACAAAAGCTTGTGGTTTGATGACAACTGGGTTGAGACAAACCTCCAGTATTTCCCCTTTTCTTGTTCGTTATATTTACTATTTTATTTAGAAAAAAATTAATATCGTGCCAAAAAAGGCTCCCAGAGCAGTTGATGCATCACTACAAAAAGCAGGCTGGCCGTGTCGTCAGGCTTACAATCACAAAAGGCTTACAGCACAAAAGGAAAATGTACTGGGAGGGAGGAGGAAATAAACTCAGGGTAAAGTTCTTAGGTTCTAATGACCAGGTGGATTTTTCTTTTTTAATTGTAGATAACTTTTTATTATATTTTTAATACTGATAGTATACAAGAAACTACAATGACCACTGTCAATTATCTGCTTATTGCTGTGAAAGACTAGGACTCCTCTGTGCCATATTTCGTTTCTAGCATTTCAAACTGCCCTCCCAAAATTGCTAGCCTGATTTCCCGTGTGGTCCTCTGTCATTTCGTGGCACTTTGAAAATCACTCTGCAAGAGTTTTCCATAGCTTAGTGGTAGCGCATCTACTTTGCTTTCAGAAAGTCTCAGGTTTAATCTCTGGATAGGATTGGGAGACTCTTCCTGTCTGAAAACCCCAGGAGCTTCTTCCAGTCAGTGTCTGATTAAGTATAAAGGCAGCTCCCACTGCTGTTGTGTTCCTGCTCAACTGCAGGCAATTCTTGCTCTTCATAGGTGAATTACTACTACAAGCCTGCCTTTTGCAGCAGTGAAATCCAGCTAACGGAACCCTTTCCCCCCTGCTTCTCCAAATATATTTTAAGACATTGAAGCAAGTACCGTCTAACAAGTTGCTACACAAAAGAGTGAAGAGGCGGGGGGGAGAGGAGGGGGGGAATTGTTTTTATATTTTATTCCACCTCTCCACCAGTCAGCTGAAGGTGGTTTTCATTAAAACATAATGAATATAAACATGTAAAGGATTTGTGTCTGTTCTTGCTGATTAAAAATCTGAGGACTGGTAACTTGTTTTCAAGACAATTGCAACCTGTTCTGTACAGTTGGTCAAAAGTATCCCCCCACCCTCAACTTCAGGCGCCCCCATAGGTTCCACCTTCCGCCATGTCAGCATTTGTTTATTTGGCCTGTCTCTTTTGAGAGTGTGCAAGTGCTGCATGATCAGGGGTGCGTGCGTGTGTGTGTGTGTGTGTGTGCGCGCTGTGACCTCTGAAGAATTCATACCTAAGAATCCGTTCCCAGGCTTCATCCATGGTTGGCATTTCCAACTCCTGCAAAGGAGGAAGCGCTGACACCGCTTGCTAATGACAGGTGGTGCGCTGGGAGCCCTTGGCGCCACAAAACTGTGCTGAGGACAGTTTGCAGGCACATCTTTGGGGCTCTGTGTTCTTTCCTGTTGAAATGGGGGGGGGGGAGAAGTGCACAGCTCCCAGCCTTGCTGCTCCCTGCAAGTGTGTGCTGCCTCCCTCTCCCTGCCAACATCAACAGAAGTTGTCTTCCCTCTGGATGTACTCTTGCAGCATAAAGTTACACTCTTCTGTCACTGTCACAGGCTGTGTGCCTCTGAAAACCAGTTACTAGGGTTTGACAAATTGCAAGAGAGAGAGAGGTGCACACGTTGCACTTGGGTCCTGCTTGTGGGCTTCCCTTTGGGTCCAGTGATAGAAACGCAGATATAGAAGCTAGGCGCCAAATGGTTGCTTAAACCAGGGTTACAGTCACCAAAACAGAATGCCTAGTTGCCGTTTTTGGCCAGGCGGCTCAAAAGTCATACAGTCTTATCTCGGGTTGAATGTGCTTTGGGATGAGCGCGTTCAAGTTGCGCTCCATGGCAAGCCGGAAGTAACGGAGCGCATTACTTCCAGGTTTTGCTGCTTGTGCATGCGCAGAAGCGGTGAAAAGCGACGCGTGCGTGCGCAGACGTGCCATCGCTGGTTACGTTTGCTTCTAGATGCGAACGGGGCTCCAGAACGGATCCCATTCGCATCTAGAGGTACCACTGTATTTTCAACATGACTTTGGGGTCCCTGAAATTCATTCTGATTGTGCAGGTAAGATATAATGGACAGAATTATACAGGATGTGTTGCTAGTGTGTGAAAACAGACAAGATCCAAGGATCCCCTGGTGTGCACCTCCAGATGGTGGAGGCATCTGGTGCCCGGGCATCTTCATGGTCTCAAGTGTCGGATAGTCAGGTGCAAAATGTGCCTGGGAAATTTCAAACGCTGTTTGGGGCATCTGGGTGGGCTGTTGAATGCTGGGCTAGATTGACCTCTTTTGGCCTCATTCAGCTTCAAGTCTCTTCTTATGAGAGGGAAGGCCATTGTCTTCATGCCCTGTGTATAAGCTTCGTGTGGGCACTGTTTTGGTTGCTGTGAGAACAAGATGCTGAACTAAATGGGCCTTTGTATTCCCTGTTGCTCCTAATGGCAACAGTTGTGTGTGTGTTTCTTGTACAGTGGTACCTCGGGTTACAGACGCTTACAGACTCCGCTAACCCACCTCGGGTTAAGAACTTTGCTTCAGGATGAGAACAGAAATCGCGCGGTGGCGGCGCGGCAGGCCCCATAAGCTAAAGTGGTACCTCATGTTAAGAACAGTTTCAGGTTAAGAATGGACCTCCAGAACGAATTAAGTTCTTAACGCGAGGTACCACTGTACTGTATCCTATTTCACTTGTTCACCTTTGCTTAGGCTGGGAGCTAAGCACTGTAGACTAAAAGAAAGAATAGATGTGGGATGGCACTATCCTGTTGAAGGCAGGGCCACTCGACTTCAAGTGGCTGGTGGTCACAAGTATGGCAAAGGGAGCAACTGGTTGTTGTTGTTTTTTGGGAGGGGCAATCTCTTCCCTCCTTCAGTTTGATCCTAAATTGCAAGATTGCGCCAGTTACCAGGAGCCCAGAAAGTGGGATGCCTTTGGGCAATAATTTGGTAATCCCTCAGATAATAATTCCATCGCCACGAAGCTGTGCCAAGCGAGCCTCACTTCCAGTGTGTATTGAATGATTTCCTTTATGGTGCAAGATGTCCCAAGTTGTGAAAAACGTACTGACATGGTTTGCCATGTTCAGCAGCAATGCAGTGATCTGGGGTCAAGGCTTAGCTAAGTGACAGAGCACCTGCTCTGCATGCAGAATGTATTATGTTCACTCCCCAAAACAGTATAGATAAAAAGGATCTAGGGCTGGGAATAACATCTGTCCAAGATTCTGCGGTTCATCAAAGTAGGCTGTCCTGGGGCTTGGTTGGGTCAACACTCAGTCTGGCTTGGTACAAGGAAACTTCATGCTGTTCTCTGAATGATTTAACATTCCCCCCCTTCTGTTCCTCCTCCCACAGAGTGACCAGCAGCTGGATTGTGCCTTGGATTTGATGAGGCGTCTGCCTCCCCAGCAGATTGAGAAGAACCTTAGTGATCTGATTGATTTGGTGAGTATTGGGGTATCTTAAACTAGAGCAGAGTTATAATGTCCCCTGTTCATGCCAAACCATTGTTTGCACCAACCAATTTAGATCCCGGTAAAGGCACATGGTAGACCAGCTTACCCCTGCCTGGGGCTCTCCAGATGTTTTGAGCTTCAGCTTCCATCCTTGCGGCTAACTGTTGACCAGCTAGCTGGTGGGAGTCCTGGTACAACAATATCTGGAGGGTAGCAGGTTTCAGTAGAGAAACCATGGTTTAGAGTTGATTGTCTTCATTTTCCACCTGCTCCAGATTGCAGCAGGCAAATCAGTGTTCGTAACTGCTTGTCTGCTCTCACTTTCCATCTGCTTGACGCACTTCTTTTTGGGAGCAGTGGATGCTAGAAGTAAGGCAGTGGCTGCAATTTTGGCTTCTTGCCTCAGACACTGTGGCAACTCTTTGTTTGCAAACCCCTTTCAAACAGTAGTTTGTGGTTCTGCTTTGCTAGCTGATTTTGTAGCTGAAATTTCACAGCTCTGATATTGGGAGAATTGTAGCTGAGGACTTGTGTAAAGACTGCAGTGCCCTTAATATGACGTCTGAATTAATCCTCTTGGTGTGAGACTGCTGCTGTTTTCAGGAGGTACACTGTGACCTCATCCAGAGGGTACACCTCTGTTCCTGTACCTGTAATTGGAGAAACGCCATAGTTCTGTGGTAGAGCATGTGCCAGGGCCCTGACTTGGCATAAAGCAGCATCTTATGTTAGGAGAATCCCAAATTCCTATAAACTTTGTAGCTCAGTGGAAGACCATCCATTTTGCATGCAGAAGGTCCCTGGTTCAACCCCCAATGGCATCTCCAGGCAGGACTGGGAGAGACTCCTGAAACCCTAGAGAGCAACAGCCAGTCAGTGTGGCTTGATTGTATAAGGCAGTTTCCTGTGTTCCGAATATCTCTCTTCCTTCCTGAGATCTTGGAGAGCTGTTCCAGCCAGTGCAGCTTAAAATATGTCTTCGGAGTCTATCCGAAGATTAATCCACGTTGGTGGCACAAAAAGGCATTGTGGTCTTGGACAGCCTTGAAATTAACTTACCTATGAGCAGGCATTGTAAATCTTTACAAGTGATTTGTAATGTTTCTCCTTGGCAGAGCTGCGAAAAGACCCTTGTCTGAGATCCTGGAGAGCTGCTGCCAGTCAGTGGCTCAGTGGAGGATAGAAGTTTATATAAAATTATGCATGGCATGGAGAGAGTGGATAGAGAAAAGTTTTTCTCCCACTCTCATAACACTGGGTGGCTTTAAAAAAGGATGGGACCAATTCATGGAGGAGAGTAAAGCTGTCAATGGCTACCAGCCACAATGGCTGGGCTGGGCCTCCACAGTTGGCAGCAGCGATGTTTCTGAATATTGGCTGCAGGAAACTGCAGGAGAAAGTGTCCTTGTACTTTGACCCTGCTTGCTGGTTTTCCACGTGCAACTGCTTGGCCACTGTGAGAACAGGAAGCTCCACCAGATGAGTCATTGACCTGACCAAACAGGCTCTTCTTTAGGGTCTTATGGCAACTTCCCATGTTTCTATAACTTCCTTGTTGCTTGCAGTGCTTAGGTAGGCCAAAGGCCTGCATACCTCACAAGTTAAGGGGGCCCACTGAGGGCGTCTTACCTGAGGCACCTACCCACCCGCATATCTGGGCCTGAACTGGTGGAATGCAAAGGTGGAAGCCTCATTTAAGCTGCTTAGTGATAAATCCCCCAAAAGGTCCTTGCAGCTCCCGTTTGTCAAGCTGCATGAGGTGCCTTGCTCTGTACACAATTGTGCTGACAGAAGGGGAAATATCCAACTTGAACGTGAAACCAAAAGGGCACGGCCTGGCGGGAGGTGGGTAGAGCGTGGAGGCCCTTTCTGGGTCACTGCCCCTCATCAGCTCCCAAACGCTTCCTTGTTCATTAGCAGAGCGGCACGGCCGACCCCTCTCCACCACCCCCGTCACATCTGTTGTGGCTTCCTTGGGCCGCTGCTGCCGAGCCTGTAATTAGAGTTCATTAGAGCCCTTGTCAGTCACGGGCCTCCCCAAAGCACAGCCTGAAAGGAGCGGGGCCTGCGGGTGCCAGTAATCCGCCTTGGCAGGGAGCGCTCAGGCTTGGCATCTTAATTACCAATTATTTGGAAATGGGCAGCTTGGAGCAGCCGTTTGGGTGCTTTGCAAGGTTTTTAGAAGTTGCTTGTTGGAGAGGGCAGGAGGTGGCTGATTTTTAGGGTTGCAATATGAGGATTGTTTCGGCAAGTAGTCATTTTAACGGTTGTTCTTCATGCAGTACGTAGTTAAACTATGGAACTCACTCCTGCAGGAGGGAGTGATGAGCACCAACTTGGATGGCTTTAAAAGAGGAATGGACAAATTCAAATTGGAGGATGAGTCTAATAATGGCTACTTGCCATGATAGCTATTCTCTGCCTCTGCAACAATGCTTCTGAATGCCAGTTGTTCTTGTGCTTGAATCCTACTTCCTGGGTTCACATAGACATTTGGTCAGTACTGATTTGAAAGGTGTTGGTTTAAAAACAACGACATTGTTGAACACTATAATTTATTTATTGCATTGATATCCATGGAGCTCGCTGGCGTACCTGGTTCTCCCCCTCCTCGTTTAATCCTCACAGCAACCCTGCAAGGTAGGCTAGGCTGAGAGGCAGGGACTGGCCCATGGTTGTTCTTCAAGCTTCACGGCCAACTGGGGGTTCAAGCCCTGGTCTCCATTGAGTGACCCCTGTGAGAACACGATGCTTGACTAAGTGAGCTCTTAGCCTGATCCTGCAGGGCTTTCCTTGTGTTCTTAATAAGCAGAAAGGCAAGCAGAACTATAAAGCCTCAGCACAGCTTGACTTAAAGCCTTATCCTATCCAATGAGAGAAAGGTACATGTGGGTGTAGATAGAGAATATCTGTATCACTTCATGGGTCCCTCTGCCACCAGCCAAGGGACTAAAGACCACTTGAAGGCTCAACTCCCTGAAGGATTATCACAGCCAGGAGGGAAAACCAACCTGGCTCCATCCTTTAGCTAGTGCTGCAGCTGCTCCAGTGCGTAGCTTTTTTTCTTCCCTCCCCAATTTTTTTCCTTTTGTGCCACGTCTCTTAGATTATGAACCCGCATGCAGGGATGGTTAACCATACAGAGCTTAGGAAACGTGTTGTGCCTTGCATGTTAATAATGTATGAGAGAGCTTTAGTGGTCACCATTCTGTTGTCACACTCTCTGGCGACCGGTGGACAAACATGGTGTGATGTGACAGATTTCTCTCTAAGCATTTGTTGGCTCTGATAAAAGCAAATAAGGTTTTTCTTGTGCTTTCTCTCTCTCATTGAAAAGCAAAAACCCTGCCTTTAAACACACACACAGTCTGGCAAAAGTCTGGTAAAAGGAACTACCGTATTTTGATAAGATGGGAACTGCAGCAAGGTGGGGATCTAGAAACTGCCAGGGATCCACTTCTTTCCTTGCCGCCGCCCCCCACCCCCAGCAGAAGTGTAAGCATCAAAGCAACCCTGGGCTGTCCAGCTGCTCGAAAACTGATCATGTCTGAGTCATTTCTCCACAGTTTTTGTCCCAAGAAAGTTTTGTCTTGGAGGCATGCCTGTTTCATGTTGTGTTTTTTAAAGGCAGCGTTTCCCCGTAAAAGTCACACCATGATATTGTCCCATCTCAAATGAGTTAAGCACTCTCAGGCAGGGGTTAGGCAAGGAATCTCCATCCTGTGGGTAAGATGTGGACCTCAATTTCTCTTTCTCCCTGGCCCTTAGGACTCTTCTCCAAGCCACACCCGCCACTGGCTTTCTCTCTCCCCTCCTTAGGTCCTTCCCACCCACCATCCTTTTTGTCCTTTTATTTTTTTAACGGAAGATGCCAGAGTTTTAACCTGGGACCTTCTGCATGCAAAGCAGGCGCACTTTTCACTGAGCTTTGACCCCTTTCCACCCAAAAGGAGAGGCAGGGTGCTTTGAAGCCCTGACCTCTGGAATCATCTCTCTCCACCCCCGCCCCCCGCTTCTGACTCCTGGGACTTCAGCAGGCATTCTCCATGCCAACTTTCAATCATATGTTCACCGCCATGAGGACTAGTACCTTGAGGCATCTGCAAAACCTTGGCATTGAAAGTTTCGTGTAAGGCAGCAAGCTTGGTTCTGCACCCCAAGTCACATTCTGTGCCCCTAGGTACCCAGCACATGCCTGAATGAAGTCCTCCTTCCTAGCTGGAGGTGAGCAGTTGCTGTTCACCCATTTTGTATGTGATCAGGCTGAAAGCGGCTATATACAGCCTTCGAAAGATAATAATTTAGCTGTGAAAACTTGTCCATTATGTCCGTCTCCCCCGGCAAGAGCTGACAAACTGGTGCGTGTTGGTGGTTGTGTGCCTGCACGTCCGAAATAAATGCAGGAATCCAGACCATTGCTAGGAAGCCTGGTAAGCTTGGGGAAACTGCCTCTTGTCCTGCCTGGCTTTCCTTGAGCACCTTGATGGGAAGAGACGCCCTGCTGACAGCAGCCAGGGGTTCAAAAGGGCGGCCTTTTATGAATTTGGCGTTCTTTCCAAAGGATGTTGAGCATGGATATTTGTCGGGGACTGAAACCGGGGAAAGGGTGGGTGGAGTCTGGGAATCCAAAGGGTATATAATTATAATTTGTTCTGTTTTTATTTGGCTTAGCTATCTGTATGGAAATTGGGAAAGTCGTGGAAGGGAAATTTTGGTCGACTTTAGGAAAAATATTTAAGAATGAATAAGGAGGTATAAGTATTGAGGTTGAAGTTTGGATAAGTTAAAATGGTTTTTTTTAATGGGCTAAATTAAATGAAAATAAGGCTTGTAAAATAAATGGAGGAAATGGAAGAAAGAAGAAAAGTAAAATAACAATATGTTAGAATAAATTATTAAGTTAAGGATTTGCTGAATCGACAATTTAAATTGGAATACAAGAAGGGGAGGTGTGAGGAGGTCTGAGAAACAAGTTATAAGAAAATAAGT